GGACTGGGTTCTTAATGAAAAAGTGGATGCAATGCCATGGCCTGCACAGTCCCCGAATATAAATCCGATCGAAAACTTATGGGAGACATCAAGGGCTACGTATTAAAGAAGTTTCCGACTTCTAAGCCGCGGCTTTGGCAATTTGTGCAGGAGGAATGAGGCCATATTCCCCTCAAGCGTTGCTAAGACTTGGTGGACTCCTTGCCACCCAGGTATAAGGCTATGATAGCTTCTAAAGGCTATTTAACAAAATATTAGATCATAGTCAATTAGAATTTAAGAAGAAATAGGTTTCGTATACGATATTTTTAAATTTATGAAGAATTTTAGTTTTTCACTGCTATTTCAATGAACGGCATAATATAGACCTTTTTTGTTGTTATTAGCTATATCTTCTAAAGGGTTTATGTTACCTAAATTAAATGATTGTGGTATTGTTAATAATTAAATATACTAAGCTTTTATGAAAAAAAAATTTATGAAAATAGTGTTTGTAACAGGATTTTCCGATCTTAAACGTGCAGTTCGTTGGGCAATGCTATTTCCGTGAACACAGCTGTATATATGTAGAGTTTGTAATGTAAAATATATACTTTATTTAGATATGTAATGATAATTCTAAGATGATTTATAATAAGTGTGTGGGAGTAACATAAACTTTTAGCTTCTTTCTTTTACTGAACAACAGTAGGCGACTTTAGCAACTTTTTGACAACAGATATTTTCAACTTCATACGACTTTAGTGGCTGTCTTTAACAACTTAATCCAATCGCTCCGGAAACCCGACTACTCCTTGCGACTTCTCTCTGCGACTGCTTTTCGTCTACCTCTCTTATTGTATGCCAACTCTGCAACTCTCCCTCTTGGACTTTTTGCTCTCATGATCGGCTAGTTGCCATTCGCAACGACGCAGAATGTCTACTCGCTGCCAGGCTGTACCTTAACACCTTGCCCTCCTGCTCATATTCATCTGACCCAGATGAAGCCAACTCGTCGTCGTTATCGGCTATGTACCTCCAAAGCTTCATGTTATCGCATTTGGTACTTGTTATGTCTGGCCCTTCGACATGGGCTGCTTTTCGAACGTCGTATCGGCCATTTCGCTTTATTCGAACGACTTCGTACGGTCCTAAATACGGATTCGCCAGTTTTCTTTCTGCAACAAATTGAGTCCTCTTGATTGCAACGAGATGTGAGCACGCTTGCGCTTTCTTTTCTTTCTTTTTGTCTTCGTCTCACATTTTTGTCGCTCAAGATTAAACTAAGAAACAAACTCTTCATTCAGAATTTCTTGTTGACGCTCTTCTGCTTGGCTGTACATTTTTGTGCCAAAAAACAGCTTAAATGGGGACAGTTTTGTTGAGGAGTTTACATGTGAGTTAATTGCCTTTTGCACCTGAGGTACATATTTGAACCACTTGCTAGGTTCTTCTGCGAATATTTTGGTGATGACGGCAAGCATCGTTCTATTGATACGCTCGACTTGGCCGTTTCCAAGAGCCACTCCTGTATGTAGTAGAACAGATGTAGTAGAAATTTGGCGAAGCCATCCACAATTGTCAATATATTTTTAAACTGCTTCGATGTGGCATCCATCGGTCCCAAGTGGTCGATATGTACACTGTGTGCAACGGCATATCTCCTTTGGCAATGCAGTGCAAAAGCTCTTTTTGCTTTCCCAGCTTCTTACTGTAAATAATACATTGGTTGGCTATAAACTCTGTTATCTTTCTCTCCATGTGGGGAATCCAAAACTGCTGCTTTACGGAATGAACAGTTTTTTTAAACTGCAAAGTTGCCGGCTTCGTGTGATTCTCGAATGACATCTCTTTCCATCGATTTCGGCACAAGTATAAGATCGTATAGAATATGGCCTATCATCTTAAAGTTTTGGTATGGACGATCCGGGAAATTGATCAAGTGATCCACGTGCTTCATCTTGTCTCCTGGCTTGTGGACAACATCGCAGCTAAAATCCTGTAGATACATAACGTAAGCTGCATCTTCCCTCGAAATATCGTCTTTGCTGGTCGTGTCCTTAACTGCGAAGCAGTCCGTGACAAGCATGAAGTGAATGAATGCCCATGAGGTAATGCCGAAATTTTCTGAGTGCCAAATAAATCGACTTCGCCTCTAAAATGGAGTTGTGTCTTTCGGCCTCTGAAGGTGACGTCTTCTTACTCCAGAAGTAAACTGGGTGTAGTTGACCATCAAATATCAGCAGAAGAACTGCCCCAAATCCGTCCTTACATGCATCAGTGTGCAGCTTAGTGTATGCTGTTCTCGAGTATATGTGTAGGACCGGTTCGCAGGTCAGAATCCTCTTGAGCTCCTGAAGTGAATGCAATTCTGCATTTCCTATTTGGAATTCGACGTCCTTCCTGAGGAGATTAGTTAGCGGCATGGCTGTCTTTAGTACGCGTCTGGTTTTCCATCATCCATATACAAGTGCATAACATGGTAGTTGATCAGGTCTTGGAATATGTGGTTGACAAATCTGATAAATGCAGCCGCTGAATTATTAAAACCGAATGGAGTTCTGTTAAATTCATAGAGTCCTTCTTCTGTTAAGGGGTTATATACAGTTGTACCGCGCAAAAAAAATGCAATTTTGTCGATTTTTTTTTGACATCATAAAAAATATTTATTAAAAATGTTTTGCCCACGGTGTTTAGTACATGTTTCTGGGTACTTTATAAAATTTTTGCATAAAAAAATATTAAATATTAAAAATGTTATGGCCGAATTCCAAGATCGTCTTTTTTTCGATGGTGACTTGCGGTGGACATCATATCCCGAGAACGGTTCATCCGAAATCAAAAATTCAAAAAAATTTTGTTAGTATATTGTATTGCCTAGTCCTCTAGACCATGGATTTGTAAAAATTTTGATTTTTAAAAAAATGGCGACGGTTTTAACAAAAAATTTACTTTTTCAAGGTATACGATTTTCAATTTTTATGCTCTAAAAAAAAAAGTTAAAAAAAAAAAAAATTAAAAATTCTTCGTTAGAGGACCTAGCTATTGTTATAATAAATAAGTGGTCAAAATTTGGTGTTGATCGGATCAATAGTTTTTTAGTAATCGTGTTCACCGCAAAGGTAATTTCGAAAAAACAAGGTTCTGAGATAATCGAGTTTAAAGTTTCAAGTTTGTTCCGGCCGATGTGAATGTAGTGCGCTATAAATAGCTACAACTTCGGTTTTAATGCTCCGATCGTTATGAATTTTTGTGAGAATATTCTCAACAGTATATACTTGAAGAATATGCAATAAAAAAATATATCGATTTTTTCATCATCACAACTGTATAGGTATAACCCCTTAAAAAGGCAGTTAGCGGCTTGCTAGCCTCTTCCACCGCCACGTTTTTCCAATACTTCTTCCATAAAAGGTACAGGAAAACGATCCGCCAACACCATGCTGTTCAGTTTTCTGTAGTCAATACAGACTCTAAGGGTACCGTCTTTCTTCGTGACCACTACCACTCTGTTAGCTACGTTTGATGCTGACTTTCGTATTATCCATTGGGCCAACCATTCATCGATCTGTCCCTTAACCGCCCCTGCGAGATGTCATCGGGCACAACCAAAATTTTTTGTTGTGTAAGTAACTGGTCTGCAACAACATCAGCGGTAAAAAATCCAATCGGCTTTGTTTTCTTCTGCCCCAGACCACTTAACAGAGATGCACTTTTATAAATTTCAATTTTTTGCAATATTACCGTTTTCATTGCATTTGAAGCACTTCGTTGGAGACGGGCAATCTTTGATTTTATGCTCTGCTCAACCACACTTGAAACAAAATTCTTTTTCTGTCTCGCTCTTATTTTCTTTCTGCTTTGCAACTGGTGATGCACGTCTGCGCTTTTGGGGCTGCTTGCAAACTCGTCAATCAGTGCTCTCTTTAGTTCTTGTTACTCGCTCACACACACAGACTGCAAAACCAATTTGGAATCTTCTTTAAACATCAGAAAGAGAAAACCACAGCAATAATATAATAATTTTCCATGAATAATTAAATATTTGTCTTGTGTAAATACTTCTGACGCAAAAAGAAAGTGTGTAAATCATAGCTTGCAAATAACTGTCGACCGTTTTTTTCTTTTGCTCTCGTTGCGAGCACAACCGAAAAAGTTCATACTTTGCTGTCTTCATTTCTGTTTTCTGTTGAGCCCTTTTCGTTAAGCTCTTTTTACTTCGATCGTTCAATGAGCAGTGCGTAAAGAGCGGAACGAGAAACGCTCGCACAAAGAGAGCCAGCAAAAGACCGATTGACCGAAAAACTTAGCGCAAACGGTCTGCACCTTTACTTTCGTTGTTGTTGCAATTAATATATTTCGACTGCAAAACGAACGCTTGTGAATGTATACCAACACGTATGCAAAGAAATAATACAATTTGATTAATAGAACAATTAAATTTTATTTTTAAATATTTATGTTAACAAGTGTCATTTAGATTCCATATTTCATATAACACATTTTCATTCATATCTCTTCCCATTTTACAAAAACAATTAGTTCGCAACTTCACACACTCAATTGACGATCGCAACTAAACGTTTAACGATTTGCTTGCCTATGCGTGTGAATGTATACTAATACATACGCAAAAGACCTTTCTTCACTGAACACGGTCTTGGAACAACCGAAACAGAATAGAAAATAACGAGTTCGCTCTGAGCGCGAGCGAGCTCATTCGGGAACCCATGAAACGGTTGCTCTCTCAGTCTATTCGTAAAGAGTGAGAGAGAGACACTTATTTGCAGACAACGAGAAACGGTCGACAGTTATTTGCAATGCCTGGTGTAAATACTTTTGACAATTTAAGGCCTATTTACACCAGACTGCGTTATTGCGTTAGCTTAGCAAACGGAATTATACCCTTGCAGGGTATGTATAATATTTCATTACAAATTCGGAGCTTCTGAGAGCGCACTAATTATTGAAGTTAAGCTAATCGTTATTTGTTTGAGGTCATCATTTGTTTTTATTTTTAGGCCGATGCCAGTTTAGGCATGCATGAACGGGAGCATATTCAGGAATCATTGAGCTATGTTTTGCGCATACAAGAAGTGCAGGAAAGAATAAAATTCGAATTTGTCGAAATATTGCTGGCTTTTATTTCCGGCTGGTTAGTTTTTTATCACACAGCACACGAGCAGGCTGAAGATCATAGAGACTATCTGCAAGATTTAAGGCACAAGGTACAAAAGGTAAGGTAGAAAATAACCAATTGTATATACATTTTTCTGAAATATAACATTTATTCTTTTAGACTCGTGAGAATTTTGAGGAAGCTCGTGAAAAAGTAACTGAACTAAAAACCAAATACATGGAAAAACGCACAGTAAGATAATTGAGATTACATTTCATTATTCGTTCTAATCTTTTTTGTTAACAGAAACCTGAGGAAGTTTTTACAAAACGTGGTTACCTATTTTTAATGGAAAAAAGTACGTATTTGATTGTATTTATTATTATTTATTGCTTTTATTGTGGCAATTACACACTGGTAGACAGAATAAATAACCTTACAATATACTACTTACTATATGTCACAATACGCAAAGTAGTATGTTTTCACTATTTTTTATTTTTATTTTTATTTTTATTTTGTATTTTTTATTTTTATTTGTATTTGTATTTGTATTTGTATTTGTATTTGTATTTGTATTTGTATTTGTATTTGTATTTGTATTTGTATTTGTATTTGTATTTGTATTTGTATTTGTATTTGTATTTGTATTTGTATTTGTATTTGTATTTGTATTTGTATTTGTATTTGTATTTGTATTTGTATTTGTATTTGTATTTGTATTTGTATTTGTATTTGTATTTGTATTTGTATTTGTATTTGTATTTGTATTTGTATTTGTATTTGTATTTGTATTTGTATTTGTATTTGTATTTGTATTTGTATTTGTATTTGTATTTGTATTTGTATTTGTATTTGTATTTGTATTTGTATTTGTATTTGTATTTGTATTTGTATTTGTATTTGTATTTGTATTTGTATTTGTATTTGTATTTGTATTTGTATTTGTATTTGTATTTGTATTTGTATTTGTATTTGTATTTGTATTTGTATTTGTATTTGTATTTGTATTTGTATTTGTATTTGTATTTGTATTTGTATTTGTATTTGTATTTGTATTTTGTATTTGTATTTGTATTTGTATTTGTATTTGTATTTGTATTTGTATTTGTATTTGTATTTGTATTTGTATTTGTATTTGTATTTGTATTTGTATTTGTATTTGTATTTGTATTTGTATTTGTATTTGTATTTGTATTTGTATTTGTATTTGTATTTGTATTTGTATTTGTATTTGTATTTGTATTTGTATTTGTATTTGTATTTGTATTTGTATTTGTATTTGTATTTGTATTTGTATTTGTATTTGTATTTGTATTTGTATTTGTATTTGTATTTGTATTTGTATTTGTATTTGTATTTGTATTTGTATTTGTATTTGTATTTGTATTTGTATTTGTATTTGTATTTGTATTTGTATTTGTATTTGTATTTGTATTTGTATTTGTATTTGTATTTGTATTTGTATTTGTATTTGTATTTGTATTTGTATTTGTATTTGTATTTGTATTTGTATTTGTATTTGTATTTGTATTTGTATTTGTATTTGTATTTGTATTTGTATTTGTATTTGTATTTGTATTTGTATTTGTATTTGTATTTGTATTTGTATTTGTATTTGTATTTGTATTTGTATTTGTATTTGTATTTGTATTTGTATTTGTATTTGTATTTGTATTTGTATTTGTATTTGTATTTGTATTTGTATTTGTATTTGTATTTGTATTTGTATTTGTATTTGTATTTGTATTTGTATTTGTATTTGTGTGATATATTAACTTGATATTGGATTTTTTGATCTGAGTTATTGATCCAATAGTATAATGTTATTTAATTTATGTTTATTTTTTATATTTCAAACTAATCCTAGGTTCCCTTTTGAAAATGTCACTTCTGGAGCCATTCAAAGCAACATGGTCAAAATACTATTGCACATTTAAGAAACAAAAGCGCGAATTCACCATGCTTCAATTTAATCAAATGAACCACAATTTTACGAGACCAGAAACTCGGGAAGACGAAAAGCTGACTCTTTTTTCCTGCCAACGCCGGGCTTCCGAGTTCGAGAAGCGATTTTGCTTTGATCTAACCTTTAAAGAAAGACCCGGATTAGTTTACACTTTCCAAGCTTTAAGCGAAAAGGATCATTGCTATTGGCTGAACGCGATGGATGGAACGGAGCCGGTAAGTAAACAAAAAACAAAACTTTGAAAAAAGCATTATAGTCATACAAATCTCTTTAAGAGGGGGACGTACATGTCGGAATTCTTTATTTTTTTTGTGAAATTTTTAGGAAATGGAATTTAATCTTCGCGAAACTTTGTAGATAGGTAAAAGTGGAATCGGAGATGATAAATTAGCCATTAACAATATTTTACAAAGTGGCGGACCTCTGGAATATATGGCGCAGCGCCTCGATCTTTGAAGGTCTCGGTTATTGACCTCGTAATTCGTGTCGGAAATCCAATATCCAACATTTTTTGTATTTATTATACGTTTAAATTCAATTTGAACTTAAAAACTATGAGCGATGTTCTACCGATGTATCGATGTTTGGAAAAGAATACCCAACATCGGTACATAATTTCAAGCATCGATATTAACATCGATGTTTCTATCGCCGTCAGAATACTAGGCTTAAAAGTTAAAATATATAACTAAACCAAACCAAGGTAAGATAATTTAGTATTAAAATAAAATGACATATATGCAAATATGTAGTAGGCATGCGTGTAGTAAAATAGTGATAGGCACCTATTAAATTTCACATTACGTTCTTTTTAATAGCATTTTTGAGTTTACAACGGCAAAAAATGATCAGGCAATTGCCGATTTTTTGGTTCAGTTGTTTCAAACAACTTATTCAAATTCAACAGACTCAAATCAGACTTATTTTTATATCATTACCAAATCGAACCAAATCTTCAGTCCTACCTTAACCAAAAGCTTTTTTTTTCTTAGATCTTCATCATGTTTATTAAGTTTTTATGCCAGGTCCTGAATACCTGACTGTGTGCTTAGGTATTGTGCCAACGCCCTGTGCAATCCCTTTCTGAAATTGTTTACCTCATCCTTAGACTTCCCCCTTATTTGAAGAAATCATTTATTATTCCTCTCCACAAAAAAGGTGGCCAACAACTGTAGAGGAATCTCGAAGTGGTCGCCCATCACCTAATTGTTTGAAAGTGTCATAACTTCTCACTTGTACGGTACGGTATTTAATTTTTTGATTTTTCAATATCTTAAGAATATTCTGTCCAAGTTTTACATCGATCATATGAGAAGTTATGCAGAGTTGAACGAAGGTCGTCTGGTGTAAAATCTATGAGAATCACAAAGTTTAAAGCGCTCTTCTGAAAAATGCCATTTTGGAAATCGGTGTACACGATAACTCAAAATCTACTTAACCAATCGGTTTGAAATTTGGAACATAACTTCTTTAGGTAATTCTTCAGGTACTCACGTCGAGCTTTTTTTAATTTTTAATTTTATTATATTTTTTATTTAACAAATTAATTTAATTGTTTAGTCAAAAATCGGGGTTTTGTCTTCCCATCTTAATAAAAAATCGGGAAAAAATTGTAAAAATAAAAACGCCACGTGAATACCTCGGAACACTTATCCTTTAACGAATGAGGTATAATTTTTTATATCGGATGATTTTGTGGACAGTTAGGATGTACACCGCAAGCCAACTTTTTTTTGTAGGCGACTCGGGAGATGGGGAATAACTCCGCTACCTCTAAATATTTTTCAATACAAAATTTATCAAAAATTGTTCAAATGTTGTGTTATTATATGGTATTTATTTTATTTCATTAAGCTAACTTGAAAAGTGGGCATTTTTGCACAGAATTAACTTTACGAATGTTCTGTACGTGATTGTGGAAATGCCCATAATTATGTTGATGTAGATTAATGTATGTAATTTGTATAAAGGCTTGGTAACGCCCAGTAATTCTGATCCATCCGCACGCACAGGTGGCGGGCGTACTACAGAAGCTATAAGATAATGATCTTTGCAAATACGGATGGTGAATTCCAGTTTGGAATTCTTTCGTATGCTGGACTCGCAGCTAAAGCCCGCAGGGAAGCACTTCTTTGCCATGAGAGCGCCACTGGAGGGGCAGTAAGGACACCAGCCGTCCGTCGACCTTCTCGTCCCGATGCGCCGTTTTCACGATGTTGGTGAGGAAGTAGTTGCACCGTTCGATCTTGTCCCAATAGAAGAGGAAGGCCTGCGAAACTTAGAACACGTCCAGATTGTAGTTCTTTATGAAGGGCAGGCAAATGCAGTTCAGGGTCGCAAAGAGCCAGCATCTTTCGGAACTCCTTTGGTTGTTGATCGGTTTGCCCTGGGCTCCCACCTTGTAGTTGACAGCCAAACATCAAATCGGTCCACGCGGGAACAGGCGTTTTGAGCAAGCCGGTTCTTTGATTCGCTGTAGAAGTTCTTGCGCCATTGTCCAGGCAGGTCGTTGGTGATAACACTGCTACTAGGTAACTCCTACCAGACCGTAAACTTTTCTTTCCACCAATGGCCAATGGCGCTGTTGTTATTACCGTCGGACTCGGTGTTAGTTTCAGCTGCAAGTAAATTGGAGTGGTGACGGTCACCAGATTTTGAGTGACGTGCGAACGTACTCGGACTCCTGGCATAGTGCTTGCCGCCGCTTCCCCTGCCAAATCTTTCTTAGACTCCCATTCGAGGTTTTGAACTTGAGCTTGAGCTGTCGTCCTTCTGGACTGGGCTTTGGGCTTCACCGCCCAAACTGGTGGATCAGTATCGGTAACAGATACTGTGACAGGAACGAGAACCCAGAAAAGAAAGCAAAAACGAGAATTTTTTTGTGACGTTGCAGATAAAAAATATATTTCGCTACTGCCAATTTGAAACACGTAACAAGCAGCGTAGGGAATGAGAATTGATACCTTAACTGAAATTAAAACAGAGCCAAAAAACTATTTATCACTTTTAATATGTATAATTTGTTTAATTTAATTTGGTTCTATAAGTTTTTCTTTATTATAAGATCAATCGCTATTAATATATTAGCATTTTATTAATGCATTGCAAAATTGAGAAAACAATCGAAAAACTACAGTCTGCAGTGATGTAATCGCTTGAACAAGGCTTCTGCGACAAGTTACAAAACTTACAAAATACTGTAAAAACAGTGGGACTATTACAGAAATAAATGTGGGTAACGATATATAATTTTCAATGTTAATTTAAATAACACCATTCATTTTAAGTTTCCTTTAAAAAATAAATCATGCTGATACTCGCGAAACTTAAGTTGTCAAACTATTGACGCCCACCCAAAGCTCTAGCCAATATGATCGACGTATATTCATTCTTATGATTTTAGGCATTCAGATTTTTTTTTTTTTTTTTTTTTTGGTGAGGAAGTAGTTGCACCGTTCGATCTTGTCCCAATAGAAGAGGAAGGCCTGCGAAACTTAGAACACGTCCAGATTGTAGTTCTTTATGAAGGGCAGGCAAATGCAGTTCAGGGCCGCAAAGAGCCAGCATCTTTCGGAACACCTTTGGTTGTTGATCGGTTTGCCCTGGGCTCCCACCTTGTAGTTGACAGCCAAACATCAAATCGGTCCACGCGGGAACAGGCGTTTTGCGCAAGCCGGTTCTTTGATTCGCTGTAGAAGTTCTTGCGCCATTGTCCAGGCAGGTCGTTGGTGATAACACTGCTACTAGGTAACTCCTACCAGACCGTAAACTTTTCTTTCCACCACTAACACTTTCGGTGTTAGTTTCAGCTGCAAGTAAATTGGAGTGGTGACGGTCACCAGATTTTGAGTGACGTGCGAACGTATTCGGACTCCTGGCATAGTGCTTGCCGCCGCTTCCCCTGCCAAATCTTTCTTAGACTCCCATTCGAGGTTTTGAACTTGAGCTTGAGCTGTCGTCCTTCTGGACTGGGCTTTGGGCTTCACCGCCCAAACTGGTGGATCAGTATCGGTAACAGATACTTCGACACGAACGAGAACCCAGAAAAGAAAGCAAAAACGAGAATTTTTTTGTGACGTTGCAGATAAAAAATATATTTCGCTACTGCCAATTTGAAACATGTAACAAGCAGCGTAGGGAATGAGAATTGATACCTTAACTGAAATGAAAACAGAGCCAAAAAACTATTTATCACTTTTAATATGTATAATTTGTTTAATTTAATTTGGTTCTATAAGTTTTTCTTTATTATAAGAACAATCGCTATTAATATATTAGCATTTAATTAATGCATTGCAAAATTGAGAAAACAATCGAAAAACTACAGTCTGCAGTGATGTAATCGCTTGAACAAGGCTTCTGCGACGTTACAAAACTTACAAAATACTGTAAAAACAGTGGGACTATTACAGAAATAAATGTGGGTAACGATATATAATTTTCAATGTTAATTTAAATAACACCATTCATTTTAAGTTTCCTTTAAAAAATAAATCATGCTGATACTCGCGAAACTTAAGTTGTCAAACTATTGACGCCCACCCAAAGCTCTAGCCAATATGATCGACGTATATTCATTCTTATGATTTTAGGCATTCAGATTTTTTTTTTTTTTTTTTTTTGGTGAGGAAGTAGTTGCACCGTTCGATCTTGTCCCAATAGAAGAGGAAGGCCTGCGAAACTTAGAACACGTCCAGATTGTAGTTCTTTATGAAGGGCAGGCAAATGCAGTTCAGGGCCGCAAAGAGCCAGCATCTTTCGGAACACCTTTGGTTGTTGATCGGTTTGCCCTGGGCTCCCACCTTGTAGTTGACAGCCAAACATCAAATCGGTCCACGCGGGAACAGGCGTTTTGCGCAAGCCGGTTCTTTGATTCGCTGTAGAAGTTCTTGCGCCATTGTCCAGGCAGGTCGTTGGTGATAACACTGCTACTAGGTAACTCCTACCAGACCGTAAACTTTTCTTTCCACCACTAACACTTTCGGTGTTAGTTTCAGCTGCAAGTAAATTGGAGTGGTGACGGTCACCAGATTTTGAGTGACGTGCGAACGTATTCGGACTCCTGGCATAGTGCTTGCCGCCGCTTCCCCCTGCCAAATCTTTCTTAGACTCCCATTCGAGGTTTTGAACTTGAGCTTGAGCTGTCGTCCTTCTGGACTGGGCTTTGGGCTTCACCGCCCAAACTGGTGGATCAGTATCGGTAACAGATACTTCG